CAGTGAGTGGCAATTTCTTTCTACTAGAAATTCAGGCCTCAAAACTTGGGGTCATTCTTGACTCTTCTTTTTCTAACACATCATATCCAGTCCTTTAGCCAATGCTGTCAATTCTATTTTCAAATATGTATCCTGAGTCTAATCCCTTTTAACAACTGTCACAGCTCCCACACTATTTCAAGCCACCTTTATATCCCTTGAAGATTTCTCAGTAACCTTTTACACGGTTTCCCTATAATCATTCTTGCTCTATCATCAACTAATTTCCATGTCGTAGTGGAGAAGATGCTATAACTTAATAGTTACAATGTGTGGCTCAAAGATGCTTTAAAGTCTTGTCAGATCACACTCTCTCGTCTCAAATTCTTCAGATAGCTTTCCAGCTAAAGTACTAAGTTCTCGGTGCCCTATATGACCTGGCTATTTTCTATCCCCCCAGCCCCTTCTCATAATACTCAGACAATTGTCCACTCTGCTCCAGCCATACTCCCTTTATTTCTCTTTCTTAACTTCACCATCCAAGGTTCATCTCAAAGCTTTTGCATGTATAGTTCTCTTTCTCAGGGAAACTCTCTTCTGAAGTTGCCATGTGGCCCTTGCCTCATTTCATTTAGCTCTCTGCTTCAAGTTCATCTTTTTTTTAAAAAAAAAAAAAAAAGCTTTTTTCTGACTGTGTGTGCTATTGATCTATTATTCTGTTTTACTTTTGTATCATTTATCAAAAACATAACATCCTATATAATAAACGGCCAATATGTAAATCTATCAAATGGCGAAATGTCTGGCCACTATGACATGCACTGACCACCAGGGGGAAGATACTTAATGCAGGAGCTGCCCCTGGTGGTTCATGCACTCTCACAGGGGGAGCAACACTCAGCCAGAAGCCCTGAGCTAGGGAGCCTCTTCCACCTCTACAACAGTACTAAGGATGTCAGACTGCCAGCTTAAGCCTGTGGACCTAAAGCCATCAGTTGGACATCCCCTGAGGGCTCCTGGACTGCAAGAGGGCACAGGCTGAGATGAGGGACACCCCTTACCCTCGAGTGCACAAATTTTATGCACCGGCCACTAGTAGTTTATATTAAATGTGTTTATTGTCTGATACCTGCCCTGTGCAGGCCTAGAATGTAAAATCCATACACGAAACAACTTGATGAGTTCTATTTGATGCCTTTTATTATAGAACCCAAAATATCTGGAATATACTGGTAGTAGGTGCTCAATAAATATTTGAATAAATTAATAAATAAATAAATATGAAACTCGGTTTTAGATGATGAATATAAGTCTCATATCTGGAAACTCTGAGTTCATGTAAGAAAACAAGTAATCTGCATGCATCCAGAGGCATCAAATTGACTAAAGTAAGGCTCCTAGAATATAAAACAAACTCAGGATGGGCAGCAAAAATATTAGTACACCAAGGCTACCAATGTCCTTGGCAACTAGCCACAAAAGACAAGATAAAGCAGGAACCAGCTTGGCATTTGTGTCCAATATAAGCCCATATTTCTCCTTGCATAAAGAGAAAGCACATCCACATGAAGCAAATGCAGTTAAAACAAATGCTGACAACCGGTTATAAATTAGATTAGTGGCATTCTCATTAGTTTATGCTTGCATAGGGAAAGAACATTAGGCTGTAGTGAAGTGGAGCAATTTAAGGTAGTTCAAAAAAATTGTTATAAGTCTGGATTTCTTTTTCTGGTATCTTTTCTAGAGAAAATACATATGCCTAAAATAATCTTTTCTAAACCTACATCTGTAATATTCAATTATACAAACATACATTTACTTATGGGGACACCAGGACAAAATATAAAAATTGATACCGGCTTTAAAAAATGCAGGATATAGAGGTACAGTATATATGACTCTGAAGTGACCTTGGATATATTAAGTGGATGAATAGTCACAAAAAAAGAACAAGCAGATGCAGTACAGAGGAAGTGAGATCATCAAAAATAAGATGACTGAAGAGCAGAACACCATTAGCAACATATTTATTCAGCTACAGGAATAAGTTCTAATGAGGATGAATGGTTGGAATTCTGGAACATACTAGTAATAGAGTGAATGATCATGGCCTCAAAGAAATCCTTGTAAGAAAACAGGAATAGAAATAGAGGCTTACTACAAGAATTGGACTTATTTTCTTTACACACAACTGATTCTGGATTATGCAGTTTTATACCTTTTTAACTGTAATCCTTTAAAAGACTATTTTAACCAATGCTGTGTGTATTGCTGGAAGATATATATCTGCCAAACTCAACTTATTGATGCTCAAATCACATTCAGCCTCACCACCTTCATCGGGTGTGCTTTTTGTGTCTCCCAGCTTTGTGTGTCTAAGGCTTTGTATGTGTGCCTGCCCCAAAACACGCACACTAGCAGTCAACAAAGGAGAATGGAGATTATATATTTGAGGATAATATATACCTTAAATGTTTTTATAAAGGAATGGTAAAATTCTAACTAGATTTCATTCTAGTTAAAGAATGAAAAGAATAATATTGTAGGATCTTCAAAATTTCAAAATCTGTCTTAATATACAAAGAACTCAGACATAATGGCAAAAGACTACACTGACATGAGCAATAAAACATATGAAGATAGTGGAAAAGCTGAGATGAAAACCCAGATTTCTTAGTGCTGGGAGCTGGGTATTATTCCTTTCATTTCACTAGTTCTCAGTCTTAGTTACTTTACAATCTAATAAAACACAACAAAACAACCTCCTCCTTGACAGTGCAAATATTTTAAATAAGTATATATTTGCATGTCTGTTGTTATGTTTCAGAACATAGCACAAAAAGTTTCTTTTGGTACATTTTAAGGGTTTGAGTTGCAGAAATAATGAAAGGCTTCCTAAATTCTTTACATACACTGTCCTGGGTTAAAGTCACTGAGAGAAAAAGAGTATGAGAAGTGTATGTTGCAATGTCAGGCCTTTTCCCTCATCTATGGCTTTCAGTGATTTTATTATTTATTTATTTCTTTAAGGGATGGAAATATCACTCTGATTTTGTAAAGTCTATATTCCAATTCAGCATCCCAAGAGACGAGCTTTCTTTTTATTTGTATGAAATTTAAATTTTGATTATAGACTTTTCTGATTAACTTTTCCATTGCCTCCTGTATTACTACCAGTTCTATTATAGAAAAAAAAGCCATAGTAGGCTTAAAGGTATTGAATTTTCCAATCTTGAATGAGTAATGTTTTTTATTATTTATTTTTAATTAAATTTATTTGCATAAAGAAAAAAGATCATATAAGTTTCAAGTATACATTTCTATGATGCATAATCTGTATATTGCATTGTGTGCCCATCACCTAAAGTCAAAACATCCTCCATCATCATGCATATGGCCCCTTTTACCACCCCAAAGCCCTTTCTATCTGATAACCACAATACTGTTGTCTGTGTCTATAAGTTTCAGTTTTACTAGTATATCCCAAATATGAGTGAAATCATATGGAATGAGTCACATTTCATTTGTGATTCATGCTGTATGATTCTTATGAATCTGATATTATCATTTAAAGTAAAGAGACTGAGCTCAAAAAAACATAACAAGTATTAAATGGTTCAAATCTAGACTCATTCTTGTCACTGGTGAAATTTATTTTTGCATAGTTCTTTGGGAAAAAGAAAAACCCTTTTTATTAACAAAATGAGCATGCATTTAAGATGATATGCAAAATACAGGAAGACTTTCAATTTTCTGAAGCCAAGGGTTGTTTCCTATTTATCATTGAATTCTCTACACTTAACACACCAGTTTAACCAATAAAATTTATTGATACTTATTGAATCTTTACTATGCACTACTAGCTTTAGATATAGCTTATTAAGCTAAAAATTAAATCTTTAAGATGTTACAATAATTATTCTTATTTTACTGAGGCTCAATTAGATGAACTAACTTAATAGGACCACAATGAAGTTGAGTTTCCAGATAAAGAAGTTTGGTCTCAGTACCTACAGTATGAATCCACTTCTCAGCATTGTTAGGTGAAAACAAAAAGGACCTGGGTCACCTAGAGGACGTTGTGACCACACTCCTGTGTCTTTTTCATCTAACAATAGAACTGTAATTTAGAGCTGATTTTAACTGGGGGAGTAAAAAGCAATTACTTTAGAGTTGATGCTCTCTTGCTCATGTCAGTTCACCACCTAGAGGCCAATTTTTACAGCTCATCCTCTAAATCACTACATGTAGGGAATTATATCACATCTGACAGGACTTTTTTGCAGCATCACAGTCATCCCATTATCATCTCTTTTCTGATAAGCTCCATCAGTTTTGTTGCTGAACCATCACTCACTTTTCTTCTAAGATTTGATCTTGTCTTTAACACACACACAAACACACACACACACACACACACACACACACACACCCCACAATTTTCTAGATCATTTATGTATACCTGGCAGAAAACTTGCAAGAAAGGATAATCTTAACTGAGGATTAATTTTTTCATCAGAAATGAATATATTTTTAAGTAGCAGCTGGAAGATTTTCTTTATATAGATGTGAGGAAATAGATTATATTGCCAATAAAAAAAATTGAAATGACTTAATATTTAATAAAGAAGTTCTTTGAGATGAGAACATAATAGTAGTTCTCAAAATTTCCATCCTATGAAAATGTTATCAACAACTTGAGGATGCCCATAAATACAAACTATAAAATTCTGTTTGAAAATATTGAAGGTTTTGGATCTCCTTAAATCTGTACTCCTTAATCTGTGACCTATAATTTTCGAAGACATTGAGTAGAAAATGACAGTATTGTGCAAATATTTGGCAGCATTCAGTTCTTCACCTAAATGGAAAAATGGCCAGCCCATACTTTCCTGAGAAGCAGACCCACCCTATGTAAAATCATACAGAATCACGCAGACACACCAACACAAAATTAAATCTGACTTCCACCTGAGAATTCAAGAAATGTACTACCTTGCCCCAAACAGATAAGAATCCAATTACCACAAGGATGGATAGTTACCCATGGCGAAGAAGGGGATTCCCAGCAGGGTGGAGTTGTACTTCCCATCTGTGATGAAGAAGATCCCCGCTGCTGTGATGAGGGAGATGCATACCGTGAGCACCCCCAGGAGGCCTAGGAAGGGCTTACTGCGCAAACAGTCCTTCATGGAGCTGGAGAGGGTGGCTGTGGTCAAGATCAGCACAAGGCTCACCAGGACCTTGCTCCTGGCCAGGATGCTGCTCTTATGAAAGTCTCTCCAGAGGCTAAAGGATGCTAAATGGTAGAGCTGGAGTTCCTGGTGCTCTTCCTGGAGCTTCCTCATAAGCTTACAGAACTCATTCTCCCACTTCTCCCCTAAGAGGTCCTGGGTGGCAGAGCCATAGGTCTGGAGGTAGTAGGTGATTTGAATGGCTCTGGCTGACTTGACCCGTTGGTCCTTGCTGTTTGGCACTTCTACTACCCCGCCCAGTTGGTGTCCAATAAAACTGTTCCTCCCATCCTTGAAAACAGAAAAAAGGGAGACATAAGTTACAAGAGAGATGCATATTTCAGAGAACGGCTTCTTATTCTAAGTGAAGGAGACCAAGAAAGGCAGAGATGGGCGTTAGCAATTGTGGAACTGATGTGGGTGGAGTGACATGTTAGATTTTATGTTTAACCTTTTGGAGCCACATGGGATACCATGCAAGATGATTAGGATTAGAAAAGATGCAAAGACTATTATGAAGCTCTACAAGTCTTGCCACATGCATTAGAAATGTGCATAACTATTATTTTGATCTCATCCATACCCTCATTCCCACTATTTCCTTCTGTAACAGCCCACTGTAATTCCTTAATGGAGATCAAGTTTTATGATTCAGTTTCAGCCAAAAAAAATGAAGTATGAGTTAATATTTCAAAAGTTAAACTAAGTATTCATTTAATAAATATATGCTAAACTGTTTAGGGTTAACACACACACCTACACCACACACACATAGACACACAAACATCCATACTCATCCTTTATATCCTGGAAATACAACTGCATATCACAGAGCAAGGAGAAATAAATATTGTTCTTTTTTTTAATTAATTTTATAGTGTTAAATGTGTGTGTGTTTTTTAAAATATGATATGAACACCTACTCACTCATTATTTTCCCTCCAAACACATGCCTCAGTCTTACCGCAGGTTGACCTCTTTCCCATAGAATATAGTGGACAACCCCCCCTAAATGAGACTGCTAACATTTCACGTGGGTTTGCTAAAAGTCATCACAACTTCAGAATTTCACATAAGGTAGAGTAGACAAGATCATAAAAGTAGGATATTTATTCTTCCTGTTTAAGGTACTCCTGAGGCAGACACTGATTATCATCCAGTGTACCTTACCACTTAGAACAAAATTCATGACAGCCATTATCACATTTTAAGCAGTTAGTTTTTGTTTTCTGTGTTTGGGTTTTGCCACATTGTCATTTACTCTAATGCTAATGGCTGTCAGATGGAATATTGAACCCAATAGCTGGTTGCAAGATGAGATATAACATTGAAGATGGGCTGCAGGTACTGAGTGGGACACAGGTATGAAGATTAATTTATGCCATAGACGGTTTCTGTTAGATCAGGCAAGCCATTTATCTCACAAGGATATAAAAAGTAGATTCAGAGCAGAAAACAAATCTTTCTAGAAGGGTAGTGCAGAAAGGCAATAAACCAACAATGCTGTAACCTTGGTTATTTTCACTGAACTGTTATTGTGGACTTGTTTAGTACAGACACCTATATCTGCCAAGTTCTTGTTTGTATTTGTATTTTTAATACAGTCCAAAAGCAATATAAAAGTTTGAGAAATTTACAGAAAGTACAAATGTTGTTAGTAGCCTCATCCAGAATTAAGAGGAAGAAATTTCATAGTCACTCCACATACCCATATTTTCCTCACATGTTCAATAGAAAACAATCTTTCCATTTAAATCAATCTGGCCAGATATAAGTGAACAAAATATTTCTAAGTAAGAATTTGATTTAGTTTTTTTTTTTCCTTTCCTTGGTTTATCTCCCACTTCTTATAAATATCAAACTAAAATTCTGGCTGTCGGTTCAAAAAGCTCTATCTACATGAAACCCCGAATGTTCTCCGATGAGCTGTGAAAAGTGGAAAAGCTTTGAGAAAGGCGTGAGAATCCTGACTCATACTGAGATACAGTGAAATATAGTTTCCTGTCTTTTCAGTCCAGGAAACATAGACCCTTAATTAGGCTTGTTTACTTTTGTTTTAAGCTTGGTATAATTTTAAGTGCCAGTCTTGGTTTCTACTTCTTTGAAATCCCATCTGTGATGTTGAGTTGTGCTTTTGATTATTTGAAAGATTATTCTAAAAGCTGTACATAATTCACTTGAGAATGTACAGTTCCATGTTTCTCTACTCATTTATATAACCAAAAATATTGAATATTTCTGAGGGATCTTTAGCTGCAGAACAAAGATTTATTCATGCCTTAGGCCTTATTTGGAGCTTATAGTGGATCAAAGAAGGTGCTGGTAATGTAACTGGACAAAAGTAAAAATTTAAACAAGGCAAATATAGATTATTAAATAACTGATCTTCATTGGCTTTGGTTAACGGCTCACACCCCTTTTGAGGTAGTCTAATTTTCATTTTTTTTTAGTTCATAAGAATATTGTTTCATTCCATTATATTCAAATGAAAGTAACAAATTGAATGAGTTTCTCTTAATTTGCTTTAATCCACAAACAAGAACGAAATAAGCTTTGGATGTCCTTGAATTGAAAGCTCTATTGAATGGTTCACATTGGAGACAAGCCATTGGTGCCATCATCGTACTCAGTACAGTCTTGAGAAATATACTTTTATACATTATTTGTAAAGGACATTCTATTATTTTGTAAGGGGTGGCAGAAGAGATATTCAGTTTCCTAAACTAACCAGTTCATAGGTGCCTCTATGTAGGAGGGAAAAGAAAAGAATATCACATATGTTGTAATTATCCTCTGGAAATGTAAGAAGCTGGGTAGGATTAATAGAGAGAATACATAATCAGGGGTCATGTGATCTGGATCACTCTGTGCATCTTGTTCTAAGTGGATAAAAAACCTTGTTTGGTTTATTTCCCCTCCTAACGTTACATTTTCATATTTGTAAAGTGAGTGGATATGAGCATATGAGTAAATGTTTATGATACTGAAGACATTTTTGGCTCTATCCATACATATAAAAGGCTAATTTGCAAACTCCCTGGGGAGTTTGACCATGAGACCAGGAGTTCGATTGGTCACTATGACATGGGCTGACCACCAGGGGGTGGCACAGAACATGGCAGCTGGGCACTGAGGGAGGAAGGAAAGAAAGAGGCAGGGAGGCAGGGATCTGATTGGCCCTGATCACCAGCCAGGTCTAAGGATCCTAACAGTACACAAATTTCATGCACCAGGCCTCTAGTTATTCTATGAAAATATTGTCCAGAACTATTTTGAAGAGATCTGAATGTCAGAATGATATCATTACAACTATAGAGCCATAAATTGATTATTTTTACATTATATTCCACCCATTGGGTAGAACTGTTTTGTTTAATTAAATAATCAACTAGAGGCTCTGAGAAGACAAATCTTGGATGAACACAAGGTTCCAACTCAACTGAGAAAGCCTCAATTCCAGCACTTTCCAGAGTTCTATGGGGTGATTTCAGGGAAGTCAGGCTGGATCCCACTCTCCACTAAATGTTCTTTATTATTAAAACTATCTTACATGAAGATCCCTTTTTCCAATATTTTCCTCTCCATTAAACCAACAGCCAACCATTTAATACATGGTGATTCATTTTCCTCCTTTCCCAGTGAAACCTCCTACACAAATTCTGAAATTCCTTTGAGTGCAGAATCACTTTTATGTCTCAATGAAGATAAATCTTAAAATAAAAATATGACAAGATGGTAACATATTACTTTCATATGCTCTCCTTTTTCAGTGTTTTGCTGAATTGAACTGTCATTATTAAGATGAAATAAATTGAAGTCCCCAACTCATATCCTGTGACCACTTCCACTCCTCCTCAATATGTTTTCCATATTAAAGGTGGAACATATTTCCCCAGTTCTAAATGAAATCACATAATTTATTCCCTTAAATCCTTCTCATAGCTTCCACTTGCACCAGGATCAAATAAGAACCCCTTACCAGGCCTGCAAGGCCCTGCATGGCTCATTGTTGGTTGAGCCCACAGACCTCTTCTCCTACTCTTCCACTCATAAATTCTGTACCAGCTTTTCTGCCTTTTCACTTACTCCTTCAAGTTAATTTTCACTTCATGGCCTTTGTACCAACCATCCCCGCTGCCTAGAATGCCTTTCTCTGTTCTTATGGCTACATCTTCATGGAAAGCTCAGCTTCTAAAAAACTATTTGAATCACATAGTATAAACTAGACACCTTCTTCCCACCAATCATTCCCTCACATGGTCCTATTTTATTTCCTTTCTACTAACCATTTCTACCTGAAGTGACCTTTCTGTGATTATTCAATCATTCCTTTTCTGTCTCTTCCAGGAGAATGTGTGCTTAATTGAAAGGTGGCACGTTTCCTATCTTGCTCACCAATAATCTCCCTGGGCCTAGAACAAAGCCTGATGTATGATAAACACATAATATTTAACTCAGTGAAGTCACTCAGAGGTGTGGTAACAATACTTTATAGAGACTACTTTGCTTAAAACTGGAGAATTAAGAGACAGCTCAAAGTATTTAAGGACAGTAGGACCTCAGATGAAGAGAGGTGTACATAGAAATTAGTGATGATACAGAAAAAAATAAACTATCTTTTTTTTCTCAGTCTGCTTAGTTTAGTAAAATATCTTCCCTAAATATTTTTTCTCTTCTTCCTCTACACACTAATAATGTACAGTAAGCTTCTCAATGGACAGGGCAACATAGTGAGTAGCCAGAAAAAAGGATTTGTATCCACTATGGTTGGGACAAAGAATAGCATGAGATGTTCAAGGAACTGAAGGAAATGATGGGATCTGAGAAGAGAGAGGAAAGCAGGGTCTCTTCTGTAAGGGCCGTGGGAGTCATATTGAGTTGGACTTCATTGTCCTGTGATAGGAAGCCTCTGGTAAGTTTTAAGCAGGGGGCATAGCATGCTTTACTTTTTGGAGTGCTCACTCTTATTGCACTGTGGAACATGATTTAGGGAGTCAGATGACTCTAAATAGCTCAGTCAGAAGGTCCCTGCAGTATTTCTGATTCTTGATGCAGCATGAATAAAATGTCAGCTGAGTCAGTCCCTGGTAGGTAAATTGTCCCAAGGTGAATCAGTGGAAGTACAGGTCACAATGCTGTCTCACGGCCATGAAGCATCTCATCACATTATCTCTCTAGAAGCAATAATGCCAGGAAAAAAAAAAAAAAAAAAAAAAATATATATATATATATATATATATATATATATATATATATATATATATATCTTGGGCTTTTTAGGTCTTTTTTAG